TCCCTAGGCTTTCTATTTTTGTTGGCATATGCAGAATTTCTTCTGTATAGTGCCTCAATTTCATTTTCTATTTCATCTTTCATGCCAACTTTCAGCTGTTCTGCTAAATTTTGAGACACTTCCTCTTTATATTTTCTGGTATGTTCTGGCACCTTATTATCAATGCAGCTTTGTCCATTTCTAAGTTTATAAGAGTTTCCTCAATTTTTTCATTTTTACTCTTTAATTCTTGGACATCATCATCTATTTCTTGTAGTTTTTCCTTAAATTTTTCATGCTTGGATGACATTTTTAAAATTTCCTGTTTATTATCTTGTATCTGTTTTTTAATTTCTTCTGTTTCAGTTGTGATTTGTGTTGTTATTTCATTCATCTTTTCCCTTATGGGATCTATTTCTCTCTTAATTAGGGCAGGCAAGGTATTTTCAACTGTTAATTTTACTGCTTGAGATACTGCTTGGGATACACCTTCCTGAATCATTTTATTTAAGTCTTTCATGTTTATTTGGGGCATATTCATGTTGCTAGATTTAATTTGGCTTACTCCTCCTAGTTGTCCTGGTGAGGGTAATTATGTCTTTCTACTACCACTATATCCTGAGGCCATAGAAATGCACTCCACTCTAATATATTTTAACTATTACTCTTTCTTTTCAAGCTGTTTCCCCCACACACACTTTTACTTTCTTTTCGTTCTTACTTTTATATTATTTAACTTAATTTTTATCTGTCTGTATTTTTCCCTTCTTGTTCTTACTCGAGTGTTCCCTTTTATATTTTCTTTTATTCCTTAAATTTCTTATAGTTCTTATAGTTCTTTTTCCAACGTTTCGCCTTGCTCTTAGCTCCTCCTTGTGGCTGCTATACTTCTGTGTTGCTTTGGCTCAGTCCTTCAGCACATACGCCGCCCACTCTGATGATGTCACCACTCTCTCCATTGCCTCCGTCTGACTCCATCTGCTCCTCAGGCCCCCGCCTCTCTCCTCGATACACCCGTCGCTGCCACGTCACCGCTCGGCGTCTCTAGTCTCGATCCCAATGTGCTCCGTCACCATCTCTCAAATTAAAGGGGTATGCGTCTCATGCAAAAGAAAGAAGCGAGGGGAAAAGAAAAACCCTTTTTCAGTTCCAATATCTACAACTGCTTCAAACTGTTTCCAACTCTCCCACTGTCCCTCAAGTCTCCTATTTCCTATTGTGCACTCTAGCCACTCCCAGTTAAATGATTGTACTCATTTATCTAGTCGGGACAAACCTTTCGCCGGCTTATCTCACACACACACCCCCGGGACCTACTTTTGGTGAGTGTTACTGTTATTCTTAAATTACTTAGCTTGTGTTCTCTCCATTGCTTGTAGGGATAGTATTCTTTTGACTCTGCTGGATTCTACAAGGCTCTCCTTGTGCATGGCGTGACTCTGCAGTCTCATCTGGGCTCCAAAAGAACTTTCTTGCTTTGGGACAGCTGTCCATTCCCGGGGGGTCGCCACCCCTCCAGATTTAGACTAGAAAGTCCCCTGCCAAACCTCTCTCTACGGGAAAGACTTTGAGGCGATAGAAATAGCCTAAGAAAGTTGAAGGAAAAGAGGAGCAGTTGCTAAACGCTCCCTCTGTCGTTGAGCCCAGATCCGAAAGTCAGGACACTTCTCCTTTCCTGACCACACACCCTCCACCATCCTCACTTATCACTGAGGAGATGCAGCATAGAGGTCACGAGGTTTATCATGCAGCCCCAACAGATAAAGAGGGCAGGAAAACTGATGCACTGAGAAGGAAGAGTAACTCCTCTGCAGCTTTAGGCTTGTGCATGTCAAATTACCAAGAGCAGGTTATCAACTCTTCCTTTGGGAGAAACTGACTCCATACTTAGAACTGATTCTAAGAGAGCATTGGCCAAACCTCCGCAAACTGAAGTGAACCATTTGTCCAAACAACAAATTAATGCGGGCAGACATGGGGCAGATGCTGCAGTCAGATCTATAGCCACATTGTTTGTTGTTAGAAGACATGCCTGGTTGAGATTGACTGCTCTGCCATTGGAGACCAGACAGAGGGTCGATGATCTGCCATTTGAAGGTTCCACTCTCTTCTGGGGGGGAATGGATGAGACGCTTGCTCAAATAAAGAATAGGCAGACGGTAAACTCTCTGGGCATTACACCTTCAAGACCTGCACAATCTAGGTAAAGGTCATATCCTCTGCAATATTGGCATCTCTATAGTAGGGAACAGAGAGCATCCTCTACAGGACGTCAGCAGTATCCCACATTTAGGTCGCTTCCACCCCCTCAACACAGGAGGAATGGTGCCTGGCCTAGGATGGGGCAACAACCCCAGGCCTCAAAAGAGTCATTTATGTTTGGGGATCAATTGGTCCACTTTTTAGAGGCATGGACACTCATCACCTCAAATGACTGGGTTTTGTCCATTATCACACAGGGCTGTAGGTTGGAGTTTACCAGCTTGCCCCCCTGCTGGGAAACCAACACTGCCATAGATAACTCCTTACTGGAATTAGATAATGAATTATGTATCCTCCTAGAAAAGGGAGCAATTGAACTGGTTCAGAACCCAGATGCCCCAAAAGCCTTCTATTCTCTCTCTCTCTTTTTAAGTGGATATAAAGGATGGGGATAATAATAATAGTCCCATCCTTGACCTACCAATATCTATCAGTTACAAAATTCCAGATGGTTCTCCAGTTATTGAAATAAGGTTCATGGTTCGTAGTTCTTGAGGACATCTCAAGAATGCTTATTTTCATGTGTCTATTCATGGACAGGACCACAGATTCTTATGGTTTTGTTACAAAGATTAGGTTTCCCAAAAGAGAGTGCTGCCCTTCAGGCTAGCTACAGCTCCTAGGGTTTTTATCAAATGAGTAACACCCATGGTCGCATATTTGCGCATAAAGGTGTGTATCATTTACCTCTACTTTGATTATTGGTTACTGGTAGCTGCTACTTTTCCATCTTTGTATAATCCTTCAAACTTATGAGAACCTCGACTTGGCTGTTAACTGGAACAAGGCTAAGTTGACCCATACCAGGTCCATCCATTTTATTGGGGGCGTACTGGACTCAATGGCAGCAAAAGGCTTCCTCCCCATAGAGGGAATTCAGGCCATACATGGGATCTTTTAACTGGTACCGGTTTCAGAGAGCTGGTTCTGTACAGAGGTTGTTGGGTCTTACGGTTTCAACTACAGCCATTCTCCCTGTGGCTAGACTGCATATACACGTTTCAGTTGTGGTTCTTGTCTCACTTCAGACCCTCATACCACTCACAGTATAAAAGGCTTTCTGTCCCCAAGATGGATCCTTAGATCCTTGACTGATGGGCACGTGCCAATAATTTGAAACAGGGCCTGTCATTTGGCTTGTTGCAGCACACTGCTACTCTAATGACAGACACTTCTCTTGAGGGATGGGGAGCACATTGTCAGGGCCTTACTGTCCATGGGTTATGGACAAGGCCTGAGCAGCTATTGCATATCAATGTGTTAGAATTGCATGAAGTTAGAAATGCCCTGACTTGTTTTTCAGGTATTCTACAGGTCAGTCCATTCTCATCCCATCAGACAACACAACATCAATGTATTACATAAACAGGGTGCACAGGTTCCAGATGACTAAGGTGGAGATGGGCAGTGGTGCATCACGCTGAGTTGCAGGCAATGCACATAGCAGGGACTCAGACTATAGAGGCAGATTCTTTGAGCCAGACCAGATCTTCCAGCCACAAGTGGTCCCTCAAGAATGTCTACTTGTACCCTATATTTGCCCCATGGGCTTCACCCACTATTGACATCTTCACTACCCAACACAATACCAAGGCCCCAGCTTTTTGTTCCCTAGCGGATGGCAGCTCACAGTTCCTGGGGGACATGTTCCAGATTTGCTGGCAAGGAGTGCTTTTCTATGCTTTCCCCACCATACCACTGATCACCATGGACCTAGGGGAAATTATGCTGGAAGGCACAGATTGCATACTAATAGCCTCATTCTGGCCCTGGCAGATTTGGTTTTCCACTCTGACAGAGCTATCACAAGGATCAGGTTTCCGAACAACCCAGACCTGATCAATATAGGCTAGATATTGCATCATGATGTTCCCCGGTTGCATCTCACAGCATGGAAGATACAGGGAAAGTGTCTGATTGGATGAAAATGGATTTTTCCCCAGCAATTCAAGCTACTCTGTTACAGTCACATAAACCCGCTACTAGGAGATCTAGTTACCAAGTGGGAGGTTTTTTTCTGTGTGGTGTAATGATGAAGGGATCACACCTAAAACAGCGGGGTTGCCCGCTATATTTAGTTTTCTGCTGAGCCTTAAGTCTCACTGCTACATCTTATTTTCACTCCAAGGTGGAGGGTTCCTTAGTGTTTGCACACAAGTTCACCACCAAATGATTCCTCACAGGCTTGTTTAGCACTTATCCTCCTAAGAGTCCTTTAGTTCCCCAGTGGTCATTAGTGGTCCTCACTGGTCTCATGAAGAAATCCTTTGAGCCATTAGCTGTCTGTTCCACCTCCTTTTTATGAAAGTGTGAGGGGGTTGGTAGCCATTATCTCAGCGAGAAGGGTAAGTTGGCTGCTTAAGGATCAACCCTCCCTTCTTAAAATTTTTCTAGGAGAGGGTGGTCTTGCGGCCTAGTCTGGAATGCTTGCCTGAGGTAGTTCTAGGTTTCACTTGGCCCAAGAGATTATATTACGAGTATTTTTTTTTCATCCCCAACCTCAGATAATGAAAGGGTGTTAGACTCTCTGGATTTGAGATTAACTTTTATTTAAAGAGGTCTAGGTTATTCAGGAATGACCCTGCTCTTTTTATTTGCTATGCTGGCCTGAATAATGGCAAGAGTGCTTCCTCCCAGATGATCTCTAGGTGGATTGTCTTGATGATAAATTTCTGCTGTGCACAGGCCAGTCTCCTTTGTCTGCTTGAGGTCCATGCTCATTCCACTAGGGCCCAGGCTTCTTCCGCAATGTTTATTAGTGGGGTTCCTCTCCTGGAGATCTGCAGAGCGGTGACCTGGTCTTCAGCTGATACTTTCATAACACATTACATGCTGGATCTGCAAGCCAGAAGAGAAGAGCAAGTGGGAAAAGCGGTGTTGCATTCTCTCTTCCAGGAACCACCTTCAAGTAAGTAGCTTACTAATATCTCAATATGGGATTGCACAAAAGACCAAAGATGAAAACAGGGTTGCACTAACCTGTAACTGATGTTCATCGAATGCCTTCTGTGCAGGCACACATTCCTTCCCTCCTGCCGCATTGTGAGCTTATTTTGTTGTAGGTTTGCAGCAGCTCAAGTGAAACTGAGAAAACTTTAAAATGCATGGATGTTGCAGTGTACATGATGGATCTTCTTCCGTGTTCCCGAGGTATCTTTCAGAAGGTATATCAAACCTGTGCTAGCTTTTAGTCAGTAGGTACAGATCATAGGGTATATTCTGGTAACAGGGAGTACCTTAACAGACCAGTAGCCCATGACAAATGTTTGATCTTGAGGGATAGCTTTGGATGTGCATTGTACTTTATGGGCTATAGCCAGTGATTTCCTTCCTCTTAAGGGAGGAGTATTTCTCTCCTGGAGTGAGACTTTTCAGTGGATGGCAGAAAAGTGGATATAACAACTTTGTACAGTCAGGAAGGAAAGTTTGGTAGCCTTATGCAGACATGTGGACCTGACTCCATGGTATTATGAGTTGCCATGGAGAAAACACATCTGTTTCACTTCAAGAAATGCTCCCTAAAATTGTTCATGTTTTTCCTCACCTCACTGAATGTTCAGGGAAATCTATTATGTCTGAAGAGAGTGGAGCATATTTATGGTCCTCGTGCAAATCCACTGACATGATCAATGATTTGTGGTTATACAATAAAACTGTAAAATGAAGCTGATTGTCAAAATGTGCAGCTGCTTCTGAGCTTTTGTTTGGGGTATAGTCTGCAGTAAATGACTTTTGACAGCAAACCATTATTAGCTAAGAGAGGGAGAAACACACACACAAGATACTCTAGAAGATCAGTTGTGTCTTTTTGTGTTAACTTTCCCCTAGTCAGTCAGCAGAATCACATGATAAAGCTTATGCGGGATTGTACCACTTGAGGCTGTAGGAAGAGAGGCTGTGTGTATGAAGAATTATTTTAGAAAAGAAGTGTGTTAAAAGTCTCTTCTTGCCTCATCCCATCTGATGTGCTGTTCATTTTAATGTATATATGCAGGGAACTTTGTGTTAGAGCATGAATATTCAAAACATTGTTTAAAGATACTGTTTAATAATTGTGACAATCTCAGTGCCCAGCTGCTGTAAAATTTTACGGCAGACACCTGAACATGTTCCAAGGTTCATGCCTTAGTGAGTAGTGCCACTTTATGGCAAAAACCATCCTTGCATTGAATGCAAGGATTTAGCCTACCTAAATCTATCCATGAAAATTCATCCCCGGCAATTCATCTGCATTTTCATTGGCTTTTAGCTCACAGCCAGAGCATGTTGAAACCTTACACATTTTAATCACAAGAGGTTTAAAAAGCATTAAACAATAGTAAATCTAAAGCTTCTACTACTCATGGGCTTTAGAAAACTGACTAGTGTTTCACTATTCAAAATCCTGCTGAAAAAAACCTGCTGAAACCAAACTATTTTCAAAATGTTAAGTAACTGCTGCTTGTGGAAAGAGGTAGTGGAACCAGGAGGCTTAGTCTTCAAGCCTGTTTTGGACATAGCTGGTGTAACATTAAGCAAAAAGATTTGTCCATAGTGAAACATTTTGTGTGTAGTGGTTAGAGTGCCAGACTAGGATCTGGGAGACCACAGTCTGAATGGGTGACCTTGGACCAATTGCACATGCTAACCTACCTCAGTTGTTGTGTGGATGAAATGCAGGAGAGGAGAGAACTATGTAAGCCACTTTGGGTCCCCATTGGAGAGAAAAGTGAGGTATAAATGAAGTAAAAATTACATTAAATTGACAGCCTATATTAGATGTGCCTTAAGTAAAAATTACATTAAATTGACAGCCTATATTAGATGTGCCTTAAGTAAAAATTACATTAAATTGACAGCCTATATTAGATGTGCCTTAAGTCTCCAACGCTGTACTGGCAGCTTCCCAGGATTTTTTCCTAGCTGACCCCCTCATGCACAGGATCCAGTTACCTCCCAGCAGCAATATGCTGCACTTCATACTATCCCCAAAACAGAAATGGTGTCCCCGAACAACCACATCCGGCAACTAATCATTTGTTTGCTATATGGTTCCCCTGCCTTGTGTACAGCACACATTGCATTATAGTGATTGTAGCTGATAGGTGACAGAGCATTTATGATTTTATGTTGTTGGCTGCTTTGTACTGATGAGGAAAAATGGAATGTAAGACTTCTAAACAGATCACATTCTTTTAAGGAAAGCCCTTAAGGTTTCTCAAGAGAGGTGCAAACTATCTATACTATAGTTTACTTTGAAAGCTGCTAGGAATAGAAATATATGTTCAGAAATTCATTAGAAGCCTTACAGGAATGCATGATCTTTAGTGATTCCAGGGGCCATTTCCTGCGGGAGCGCACAGGAGTGGAGCTCCGGCAGTAAGGAGCCCAGTGGCAGGCACATGTAACAAGCCCCACCCCCTGCTCCCAGCAGCCCTCAGTCGAGCCACGAGGAGCAAGAAGCAGCCAGGTAAGTTGCAGAGGGCCCCCCCCCCCCCGCCCCCCCCCCGCCAAACACGACACCCCCCGCCGTG